GTAAATCTACAGAAAAGACTGATGTTTTGTAGCTATTTTCTGGAGTCATCGGAAGAACCACCAATATATCAATCTTACAACTGAACTAAATACTTTCCTGGAACTGTTTTCAGAGGAACAGCCGTGTTAGTCTGTATTCGCAAAAAGAAAAGGAGTACTTGTATACCTAGATACCCCATATGTTCTTAGCACCTGAAGATGTTATAGGCAGGCTGCAGCAAATCAATGGATGATCTAATCTAGAAAAAAGAAAAGGAGTACTTGTGGCACCTTAGAGACTAACAAATTTATTTGAGCATAAGCTTTCGTGAGCTACAGCTCACTTCATCGGATGCATGCACTGAAAGCTTATGCTCGAATAAATTTGTTAGTCTCTAAGTGCCACAAGTACTCCTTTTCTTTTTGCGGATACAGACTAACACGGCTGCTATTCTGAAACTAATCTAGAAAGTGACCCTTTGTTTATCATGTGCATTCAGAAGAGATTCCTCTTAGCCAGGGTAGGGAAGGTTACAGCAGGCAGGCACTAGCAGTTTTCAACCTTCGGCTAAAAGCATGCACCTGGTAACCAGCAACAAGGGTATCTAGTAACTCTAACTATGACAGGTATTGAGAACCTTCTGCCTCAGTACACAAAGCTACCTTTTCAACCTTGGCTCAACCTAGGGTGAGGGAAAATAGTGCATGATTACAAATTAAATGAATGATAATTAAGTGAAATTTTCATGGTGTTTACAAACATGCCATCTAAAATAAGTTTGACTGTAGAAAAAAATCTTTAATAGAGATCAAATGAGTCAATGAAAACTAAAAAATTTAACAATGATTCACTGTGTTTTCAAAGGTTGGATTTTTAGGTGCTCAGAGGCAGGTGCTGACAGGACTCAACTGGTGGGATTCTAGCACTAATCAAAATCCATATATGAACACTTCACAACTAAAACTGTTTAAGTGAAATGTGTTCATTTGAATTTTTCATTTTAGTGCAATTTAAGCAGACAATACCGGCTGCGTTGTACTTGAACTCGACTGTTCACTCAAAGTCTTAAAATATCAACTAGTTTTTACTTTTACTTTATCTGACTGAAAAGTTTAAATAAAAACAGGTCCTAGACTCCAGTGTAAAAAAGGGCTACAACAGAAACATTCCCCACCATGACAGCTTCAGATCTAGAGAGATGAACACAGGGAAAAGAAAAAAAAACAAAACACCAACCCAGCAAGCATCCAAGAGTCAAGGACTGGTGTGCAACTTAGAGAGAACAAGTTATTTTATTGTTCTGTCCCCAAATAAATAAAAGCATTGTTTTGAGCTAAAATCCACTTTAAGTGATCCCTACTTGTTATAGGACATTATAAGGAAAAAACTGCAAGAGCCAGAAAAATGAGACTGAACCTACATATCCTGATGTGTCATTTCCTTTGCTAATTACTAATGTCGTTAATGAGCCTAGACTTTTGCAAAGGGTTAGATCATTGTTCTCGTTAATAGGAGGAATGCTTTCATCTGCATTACTCTACAGTCACCATGTTAAAGATTATTTTGAATGGTGGTCAAAAGGTTGTTTAGAAGCTCTCTTAACAGCGGGAAGACTTTTATCCGCTGCTCAATTAGTGATCCACATATTATTGCAAGACAGAGTTGAGAAATGAATTATACAGAACTGCTTTCAACCCCCCCCGCCCCCCAAAATATCTTTAATTCTGAGAAGTGGTTTGTTCCTTCTGATCCAGCTCATACCATCTGTTTCTACTTTGCTTGCTTAAGGCAGATGGTAGATTATAACAAAACAGTATTCTGAAATTTGGAGGCTCATGTCCACAAACAAAAAACTTAAAAAGGCAGCAAATGCTGTGATTTGCTAATATACTTCTTTCTCCGATCTAGGAAAAAAGCTCACTCAAGTTAATAAAAAGGAGAGAGGGGAGGGGGAAAAAAAAAAATCTAGAAGGGAGCGAGTTAAAGGGTCATGATCAGATGCTTGTTGTACATGACAAGTCTTACCTAGTCAGAAACCTTTGAACTGAAGAGGATATGCAAGACATTCCTCATTTTGTCACGCAGCAGCTTCTCATTCAACCTGCAGTGTAAAGAAATTACTCTTACCTTGTTTAAAAAAACCACTACTATTCTAATTCATGAAAAATTTTTAAAGGCAAACCTTACCTATCTCATTGCCCTTCCTTTCAGGTCTAAATGCTAGACCTATTGATTTTGTGTCAACTCAAGTGGCTATCACTCAAGGAGGCTCCAAAAGGTGAAGAACTCTTGCTAGACTTTCTTCGATATTTCAGCAGATTTAACTAGCCTTTGGAAAGCTGCTCACTATCAGCACAGTATCTTATGCCTTCACTTCTCTGGAAGTTGAAGCTGCTGTTGCTGCCGCTGCCTTGTCATTCTTTAATTATGCTGACTTGTCCATACTCAATAGGCTGCTGAAGTCCTGTCTGAGTCCTTTGATCCATACTTTGCTAAGAAGTACATCCTAGGTTCTTAAAGCTGGTTAATCACTGTCTCACAGCTTACACTTTTCCATATTGCATACCACAACTAAGCTACCCCACCCACTTAGGAACAGTTCACTTGCAGACTTCAACTGTTTAAAGTTGCAAATGAGTCTTGATTATAATCAATCTTGAAACTAATGTAGTAAGTGTTACAGGGCAACTACAGAGGCCTTGTTAAAAAGAACACTGTCAAGACTTTACCTCAACCCATCCTAATTCTTTTCCTACAATCAGATGCAGATCCAAGACTACCCAAACTCCTTGTTAGCAAGAATTTGCACATGCAAGTCAAGGAGTGATCTAAAATGTTGTGTGACTGCAGAACTCACCCACAATTTTGAAAGTATCCAGATCAGATGCCATATTTGATGTATCTTTTAAGTTTGGCCATTCTCTACAAGCTCCTTGGAGGTGATTTAAATCTAAGTGCTACCTTTTCAACTCCCATCTCAATGCATGCCATTTTACTATAGTCTGGATTCATGCAGATACTGGACTATTGGGGTTTTTATAAAACTACAGATAAAAATTTTAGAACGTTCCCACAGGAAAAAAACCTGAGCAGAGGAGAAAAATCCAGTTTGGTGCCTACCAACCTTGACAGTGTTCCTTGTTTCTTTAGTATTCTGAAATTTGAACACACTCCCATAACAATGTTTGGCAACATTGTTTAATAATTTTGATTTCTTCTACAACCTCTTAAATAGTAACTTATTGTAGTTTGACTGGTCGTAACTTAAGCCATTTCATAATATCTTTGAAGATGGATTCCTGTGCTGGAATTGCATTTACCTTATACTGCACATTGACTCAGAGGTGAAAACAGGTGAGAGCAATTCGAGCATCACATACTGTCAAATGTCTGGGGTTTTTCTTCTACTGACTGTATCCCTACTCTTCTGGGCCTGTATGACAGAAAGCACTGCTCTGGCAGAGTTGAGAGAAAAGTCAAATCAAGTAGAGGAAAGGATGACCAGTGCCTGAATTTGGGGTTCAGAGTAAGGCATTAAGCATACTTGCTAGGGCTATATACCACAATCTCAAAAATGGCAGACTGAAAGGGACCTTCAGAGGTCTTCAACTTCATTTCCCTGTGCTGAGGTAGGACCAAGTAAACCTAGACAATCCTTGATAGGTTTTTGTCCAACATGTTCTTAAAGGGCTTCTAAATGATGCGGATTTTCCAGAGCCTCTTTTGGAAACCTATTCCAGAACTCAACTATTGTTATTGTTAAACAGAATTTCCTAACAGCCAACCTAAATCTCCCTTGCTGCAGATTAAGCCCATTACTGCTTGTCCTAACTTCAGTACATATTGAGAACAATTTATTAAACATCCTTTTTGTAAAAACCCTTAATATTGCTGAAGACTTATCAGGTCCCCCTTCCATGTTCTTCTCCCAAGACTAAGCATGCCCAGTGTTTTTAGCCTTTCCTCATATGTCAGGTTTTCTAAGCCTTTTATTTGTTGCTCTCCTCTTAACTCTCCAATTTATCCACATCTTTCTTGAAGTGTGGCATCCAGAACTAGACACAAAATCCTCTAGCTGAGGCCTTACCAGTGCCAAGCAAAGAGGAGTAATAAACACCATCCTTCTCTCCCCTCCCATACCCTACATGGAGACACTCCTGTTAATACTCCCCAGAATATTAGCCCTTTTTGCAAATGCATTATTGTTGACTCATTTGTGATCCACTATAACCCCCAGATCTTTTTCAGCATTACTGTCACCTATCCAGTTATTCTGCTTGTATTCCACTTTAATACACCACCACCACCCATATCTGAATTGATTATGGGCATCTCTTAAGCAAACTGACACTGGTATCAAATCTAGCCCAAACAATGGAACTAAAGATTTCCTGCCACTAAAATATGACCAAGTTTATTTTCAAATAACCCTAAATCCCTTACTTGAACCCATATTGTCAGAAGTAAATGACTTGAACTATGACAGTTTGCCCATCATCATGAGGCTTTTTAATGAATTACCTGAGACTGTCAGGGATTATACCTGTGCTACTCTTTGCTCCAAGTCAGAAGGATGTGTCCAGAAAAAATGCCTAGGGTGTGTACAAGGAAGCATATAGCCATTAAATTGTTTTACAACATATACCTATTCTCTCACTACAACAGCAAGTTCAAATGAAATAGTTAATTCAAGAGAAAGACATCATGGCTGCTCTCTTCAAAGCACAATTTCATCCACAAAAATATCTAACTTCATACCCTAGGGTAATAGGCACTTGAGTTTCACCCTTTTGAGCTTTACAAGAATTTGAAAAAGGTAAAAGCAAGTCCATCTCCTCTTCACCCAGAACTTGAACAAGAGACTGCAGATATCCCCTACATATCTCAAAATGAGACTGGAGGCAGTTTGAATGTAGCTAAAGAGAGTCTTGTTAAAATATTTATCATGCCTTATTTTCTTGCAGAGCCAGCACTAAGTAATACAGAACTACAAATTAAAAAATATGCACAAACCAAAAAGTAATTTGAAATTTTCATTTGAAAGTAAGCTTAATTCTATCATTCACAAACACTAGTTTAAATAACTCAATCCTAATACATCTAAACAAACTATTATGCAACATATGTTCTCTATTTGCATATATATAACTCATGTCAATGTGAGTTATATATACATTGAGACTAGACCCCTTAAGACTGCAAATCAGCAGGTGTTTCTACAGTTAAAGTTAACACAAAATGGTAATTGAGAAATGCATCAATCTTCTCTATTAACAAGAAACACCCTAAACTACATTTCTTTATTTTTGTTAAAGTCTGAACTAAAATGTGGAAAAACTGAACTACACAAATATTGAAAAGTTAAAAATTCCTTAATTGTTTTTTATTCCTGGTACCACTACCACGATTTACAGGGCAATATACCTGATGTAATGAAAGAAAAAAAAAAAAAAAAAAAAGAAAGACAAAGCTACAACAGATAGAAGACCTCAGGAATGTACATCTAATTGACACTACATTGCATTAATCAATAGCTGCACTTTTTTGCAAACTGTGGCTATGGCAGTCCTGAACAAGAAGGGTTTTTCTGTTTAAGCTGCAGTAACTTTTCTGACTATGGATCATCGTTCCTTCTGTGGCAGATTTTACAGTTCCTCTAATGCATTTGGGACGACTGTCTCAAAGTAACCTGCAGCTTTCCTGACAACTCCTCGCTCTCTCTCTCCTGCTAAGAACTGTAGCCTGTTGAATACAGGATAAGAAAATTATTACTCAGTGAGCAGCTGTATAAATTCTTCATCATTGTCATATATATATATATATATATATATAAAAATAACATACCCACCCTTTTTCTGGTTCAGTTTAGAATCTTCGGCCACCATAGCCACCACTGCCACCTCCAGATCCATAACCACCTACGAGTAACACACATATATATTTTTATGTAAAATTTCTTTGCGTTTAAAATTTTTTGCTCAAAGGAGTTATATTTACCACCATAGGGACTGCCTGAGCTTCTGCCACCAAAACTGCCACCTCCTTTCATGGGTCCATAGTTTGACTGCTGTTGTCCACTATAATTGCCAAAATCGTTATAGTTTCCACTGCCACCATAGTTACCTGAAACAAATTTTATTTATTTTTAATCATCCCAAATTTACCATCTAAGGCAGCTTCAAACACAAAAACCTGAAGAACCCCTCCAATTGGCCTCTGGTTGTATACTTAAGCTACAAAAGTGAAAGGCAAACTCAAAACTGGTATTGTTGATGTAGCCCTTAACAAAGAAGTTCTCTCCCCTCCCCACCAACAAAAGAAAAAACGTGAACCATCCATTTCTTACTTCCCCCTAAATCAGATGTGGTCTTAACTTTCTTATGAGGGAGAGCAATGTGAACAAGTTAGCGTTTATAATAGAGTTTTACACAATTCTGGTCATATGGCTTTCCACAGCCTCACACTAACCCATGCCAGTCCAACTTTCAACACCATCTTGGGGAAGAGAACATGTACTACCTCGCCTTTGACCAAGCGTCCACATCATTGTGTCACTCCTATTTCAACCTCCATTAAGGCAGAAAATAAGTTTTTCTACTGAGGCACCCTAACCATAATTACCAAAATTAATTACCTTTCACCTGTAATTCAGTATCTCTTCAAGGCAGAATTTGTAGTAGGAACCCACAAATACTGCTATATTAGTTGCCGAAAAGAATAGGTAGATGAAGATTCTACAGTCAGAGATAACAGTTAAACAAGATGAACCCCTTTCAAGTCCTTGAAAGCTGCTAACTAGCTACCAACCAGACCTGGCAAAAGAAGTTATCCAGGAAGACTGAAGAGAGCTTGGATTTTTTCTTTATAGAAAAAAAACTCCTCTATCACCTCAGGCCCCACTCCTCAGTCTAGATCCAAAAAGGCCAGTTAACCATTAATGGCTTGGTTAGCCACGTACTTAACAAAAACACTATCTGGTTTAACTACTGAAATGCCTTTGTCGGGGGCTCTTAAGTCAGTTTAGGAGTGGCTGAACTAATATGACCGAGTTTAGCTAAATTTATGTTAGCCATTCCTTCACTGATTTAAGAAAGTTTCTGCCAAAGGGGCTCCACCAGCTTAACTAAATCAACTGAAAAGCCAACTTGTTAATCAGTGAGCTAATCCTATTAATCACTGCAATGCCTGAGAGTATAAAAGCCCCATAAACCCTGTCAACATGAGCAAAAAAATTTCCAATCAAGCCAGATAAGCTCATAAGATATAAAATACCTATATAGACAATTGTAATGTGTTTGGAAGAGTTTCCAATCAAGTTGATTGAAATTAGTGGAAAGACATTTTTGTTGTTGATAGGGTCTTAGTTACCTTTCAAAACAGACTCATCCTTTGGCCAGGTCTACACAGCCCCCAGGGCAGGCCACAGGAGTGAGTTGTGGCATGCATTGCCAGGAGTATATGAATGTGAACTAGGTAGCTTTTATGCTCATGCTAGCAAGGTCTACACAGGGCATTTACAGCACAATGTTTTAGTGCATATTGCAACTCACACCCCCAAAGACAAGCCCTAGGTGGGCTTTGTGGGTATAGCTATAGGGGTATATTACAATGGCAGAGTGCTCTTAGTATAAGTTCAGCTTGTACCTTCACAACTGCTTTTGCTGGCATATCTTATTCCAGAACCAAGGGATGTACGCTACATTTGGAAAAAGAAGTTTTTCCAGTGTACCTGCATCCCACAGTAAGGATTTTTACCAGCACAGTTATGTTGATCAGGGATCACTCTCCTGACCAGTACAGCTATACTAGCAAAAATGTGTACTGTAGACCTGGTCTTTGTTCCAATACACAATTATACAACCAAAACCACTGAGTGTCCTCATTGAAAGCTGCATCTATAGACACTGGTGATAGTTCAACTTTTCAAAAATGCCCCTCCCTCCTTAGCCATTCATAACACACAGGGTCTTGTTAGCAAAGCAACCTTTTGCTAATAATTAAGCTGTATGTAATCCCTTTATTAACTTATATTGGTGGTTTGAGGCTAATAAGCTTAATTGTCAAAAATAGCTTACATATCAAGATACGACAGTGGTAGTGACTAATTTCCTGACTTTTACAGTCTAATTAGTAATTTTGCATTCATTTCTTAATGAAAGAAAATGCAATAAACTGGAATACTTAGTGTTAGTATTTAAATGTCTTATACAGACTTTGATGTTCAAACCTTGTGGAGGATGGAGAAAGGGAAGTTTCATATCTTAACTTACTGGCAAAATAGCAGTACACTGCAGGTTATGAAAAATGAAACTGAATACCTTCATGCCACATTATACAGAATTTTGATATATTAAGTTGGGCATAGTCCTGGGAATGCTCTACTCCTCGCTCAAGACATTAGACCAAAGTCTCTCCTCTATCTGCTTCCCCCCCTCACAAATTATGGTCATTGCTCTTTATAAGAATTCCTGAGCAATGGAAGACCGTACAATTAAGTATAAACATAAGGAAAATTCTCTTACCCCCTCTGTAATACCCTTATGTTGATTATATTTGGGGCCAAAGCCTAACCTCTGTCATTTCTAGAAGTGTTACTATATGCCATAATTTTAGGTTCTATAGAGTTTAGATTTATGAGCTACATTTTAAAGATCTGCAACTACTACTTACCGCCACCAAAATTTCCTCCTTCATTGTAACCATCGTATCCACCTCCTCCTCCACCACCACCACTGCCACCATATCCACCACCTGGGTTTCCGTATCCTGGTCCTCCTCCACCACCACCACCATAACCCCCTCTACTACTGTAACCAGGGCCACCTCCATAGTTCCCACCTAAAAAAGAAAGACTAGTCAGTGTACCACAAAAATTTAAGTGTTGATTTATGTAGAAAGAGTAAGTATGCTGCAACTGAAATGATATGTTTTCTTCAGCTACAAGAATATTCTTTGATAAATTAATAGCTAGATAAGTCACAACACATTAGTCCATATGTCTGTACCAAAAGCAATAAAGTACCTTTAATTATATTTGCATCACTGCCATATGTTCTTGATTTATTTATTTTTATAAATAAATAAAAATAAAGTAAATAAATAAATAAATAAATGCACGCTGAAAAAGATTCAAATCAATATACTGCATAAGGGACCAATCCTGCAAACATTTCTTTGGGGAGTAACTTTACACACAAGAGTAGACCAGTGATCTCAATGTGACTACTTCACATGTGTTTGCAAAATCAGGTCTAAAATAGAACAGTGGACTATTTCCTCTATTGTTTTCAGAGGCAGAAGTGCCACTTGTCCATCAGCGAGATGTGTAACTTCTAGAAGTTCTATCCAGACGTGGGTTTGGAGGCTTATCCAAACCCAAGTCAGCAGAGATTACAAGTTTATGAAATCTGTTACACATGAATCTCAGATATTAAGTCAACTTCCAGGTAATCTGGTCATATCGGACACTTGAGGTTTCACGCAATAGCAGGCATAGGGACTGGAAAAAAGTTAACTTTCATTTAACTGTTTTCACTCAATGCATATTTGACTATCATTTACTTAAATGTAGATGTGTTTAAGGCTCAGTTTCCACTTGGATCAGTTTCATTTTAACCAACTTGCTCATCTCTAGGTAAAATGAAACTGTGCCGGAAAAAACACAACAAAGGAAGTCATTCAACTCATGTTGCACAATATCCAAGTAAACAATCACTGCCAAAATAATCTCATTTTCCAAGTCCAAAGCCAGTTCTGATCAAGTGGTATTAGGATATGCTTACCATCGCCAAATCCATTATATCCATCACCACTTCCAAAGCTTCCACTTCTCCCACCACCACCACCACCGTAGCCTCCTGGACCAAAAAAAAAGAGGTTTTCATGAACAAATACAAGTCTGGTTGAGCCAACATCTCATTTTGATGAAATATGAAAGAGACTCAATCATCTACCTCTGCCACCAAAGTTTCCTCCTCGGCTGAAATTTCCACCACCACCACCACCACCACCTCCTCCTCCAAAACTTCCACGACCCATGAAGTTGCCTGATCCACTCCCGCGACCTACAAGACATTTTACATATAGTAAATGAAATGCCAACTAATCTACGTAAAAATATCCCATTACGCACCACCCCAAACTCACCTCTCTGTGAGCTAGCAGTCTGCATCTCTTGCTTAGAAAGTGCTTTTTTCACTTCACAATTATGTCCATTTATAGTATGATATTTCTGAACTAAAAAATAAACATATTTTGAAATAGTTTCTCGTTTTCACTGTCCACTAGAACATGAGCTACACAAAGCTTAAATAAAAGCATAAGCACAGGTTAAAAGCAAAGATTATACTGCATGCAATACATTTCTTGTAGTGTGCTTTCAGTCAACTACTTGCTTACTAATAACACATTCCATGCATGGTTCAGGTCTATGTAAAATCAGAGTTATACTATTTCAAGTAATTTCACATTCTATAACAGTCACATACCAACAATTTTATCAACTGTATCATGATCATCAAAAGTTACAAAAGCAAATCCTCTTTTCTTTCCACTCTGCCTATCTTCCATGACTTCTATGGTTTCAATCTTGCCATATTTTTCAAAGTAGTCTCTTAAATTATACTCTTCTGTATCTTCTTTAATTCCACCAACAAATATTTTCTTTACTGTTAAGTGTGCTCCAGGCTTTACAGAATCCTAGAAGGCCAGAAATTATATTTAGTACTTTATATTTCTCAGGACTGGATATACTCAGTACAAATTAAATGGATTAACTTACTTCTCTAGAAACTGCTCTCTTGGGCTCAACCACACGCCCATCAACTTTATGTGGTCGAGCACTCATTGCAGCATCTACCTCTTCCACACAGGAGTATGTCACAAAGCCAAAGCCTCTGGAACGTTTTGTTTGTGGGTCTCTCATCACCTACAAGAGCATAAGAGACATAGTATCACCTTACTACATTTAGATATTTACATTGTTTCAGAAACATTTTTTGAATTATGACAACTTACCACACAGTCTGTGAGCGTGCCCCATTTTTCAAAATGTTCTCTTAAGCTATCATCTGTTGTTTCAAAGCTCAGGCCTCCAATGAACAGTTTTCTCAACTGTTCTGGCTCCTTTGGGTCATGGCCCTGCAAAAACAAGACATTCTCTCATGAAGCCACACCAAACACTTATGTCCTGTAAAGTTAAGTTTGGTAGCATTACTAACAATTCTTCTGAGTTTTTTTTCATAATATAAATATTTACATAAAATTATTTTTGTTAACAATAAAAAATGTTTAACATTTGGTGAAGAACAACTGTAAGTAATTTCAGTTAACTTCTTTAGTGATGAGTGGTTTTGTTTAGAAGGCTAGAATTCTGGTTTTGAATTTTAATATTAAGTTTGGTCCTATCTAGAGCTAGATACAAGAGTATCAAACAGTTTATTTTTAAAGTGTATCCAAGTATCTATGGCATGTTAATGCTATTTGATATGCAAGTTTCAGGAACTATACCCCATGGATTTCATTATAAGTGAACCACCACTATATACTGACAAATAGCTTCTACAGGGTTAAAAATAAAGCAAGACACCCCAAACCAAAAGGCACTGTCAAAAAACTGAAGACCAGAGTCTCAGTGGTCTGAGAACATGCTGTTTTGCTAGATTTAAGTGACCAGTGATTTTGGGAGCCCAACTTGACATACTATAAAGGGGCCCAAATTTTCAGAGGATGAGATCTTTCAAGATAAGCAACCAAAAACTAAGATATAAAAATCAGTCACTTTTAGAGCATCTTGGCCCCTGTACAGAGGCAAATAAAGTTGTAAAAGCTTTATTATAGCAAGATTCAAATTTCTCCTTTGCCAACCTTTCTGACTAGACAGCAAGAATTCCAACCACCACCAGCCATTAGCTAGGTTAGGCTGAAAGTGTAACAAAAAGCACTGTGGCCCACACCTTGTCCAAGAGCGAAACAAGGTCTTGTCTAAATGGCAGAGTTGCACTGATTTACCTGAAGCTGTTATTTTAAAAACAGATTTAGTTAAACTGCTGCAAAAAGCTGCATGAACATGTGAAGACAGCTCTTAAAATGTGACTCTTATACAACACCAAAGTGCTTCCCAATATTAGTGAAGCAACTACAAGTATTTTTAAAGAACATTTAGGTCATGTTAGAACATGTTCTATGACTTATTTTTGTAGATCAAATTTAAGACATTTTTGGAAATTTGAATTAAGTGTAAGCTTACTTTACGTCTTCATTCAACAAACATTTTTTTAAAAAGCCACATTGTAAAGTATCTTGAAACACTAAGTCTCACAACAGTGCTGTGTGAAAAATTGGCCCCAACATGCTTTCTTGAGCTGTGCCCATCAAACAAGGTTAAAGCTGGAGGAACATCTACTGGAAAACAAAAGTAAGGAAAAGCTTGTTTCTAGTTTAGTTGAGCTAAATTTTAATGTAAGCTATTAAAATGAAATGCAGTTTAGTTTTCCAGAGCGCAGCTTCTCAGGGCATTCTTTAACAGTATATTTTCAATTTTGTTTTTAAGTTTAAAGATGTAAGGGGTTCTCTCCTTCCTATTAGTTTCAAGCGACTTAAGCAATGAAGGAGATAACTGACAAAGTACTGACAATGTACAACATTTTCTGGCAAACTTCCCAATTATTGTAACCACAGGTTTTACTAAACTACACAGTAGGTTAAAAATTAAGAGTGTTTTTCAAGTTGATACCATCTCTAAGTCTACTGGGCAACTCATACAACAGCTCATGTGGAAAAAGAGGAAGAATATTGTAATGTTTCATGAAAGCATAGTCACAAAATAAGAAATAGGAAACACCCCAGAGTGGAGTGCTGGCACAAGGCCCTGTGCACAATTAAAGCCCTACAGTGGGGATGTGCATGAGGGACCCATTGCATTTGCTCCCAACAGGCTAATGTGGGGCAGATACAGGGCAAGCTGAAGGACGGCTGATTGTAGATACAACTATATGGATCAAGTAACCCTGGCCTCAGACAGATGTGATCTGCCACTCCAATCTGCAAGTAGAGCATTCCAGTCCTCCTCTCAGGTTAGGGAAGGTCATTTGGCTTTTTTCAGAAAAAATGTTTTTCCCTTTGAGTGAATGCAATTTGGCTGCTTTGAAGGACAACATATTTGTAAGTTACTTGTTCAAGAGTGCTTAGCAAACAAATGCTTAAGACTGAATTTTGTACCACTTCTGGGAAATATTCAATTAAGTGGGTTCCAAACTATAGTGCAAAGACCTATGGCTGGTGGTTCATGAAGAGCTGGCTCTCATTTTCAGTTGAGAAACTGTATAGGTAGCAAAAGCATCCCCCCCCCCATTAGTTTTATATTTTAAACTGACTTAGTTACTATACAAATAGTATGTAATGGTTAAGTGGAGAGGGGAGGATTTCAGGGGTCCTGTGACTGCAAGTGGGAGACATGGTTCTTGAAATACTTTAAATGGTCCAGACTCTGAAAATATTTGAGTACCTTTACTTCAAATACTTTAGTTACATCTGTATTTAAAATTTTTAAAGGTTCAAGTTTAGTCATAGTGTAATTACTGCTTTATACTAACTGCAATATAGTGTAATCAGCAGCATTCATAATTTTACATGAAGACTCAGTATTTAACCTACAACATGTTTTTTACATTTACATTAGCTAGCTTTGTTTTTGACTGTATATGTACAGACTCCTTTCCCTGCTGTGCCTGTCTGCTTTAGTCTTAGCAGGCACTGACTTTATAGAAGTAAAGGTCTTGAATATTTCAAACTTGCCTGCTCACATTAATGGAGCAAAAGGAAGTGTGAAGAAAAGCTATCTCAACATGAATTTTGTTTGGCAGTTCAGCATGCTAACAGAGAAACTGAGCTGGGTTCCTCCTTTGTTAAAAGGGATCTGCAAAGAGAAAAATTGGACCTGGGTCCCTTTTGTTCTTTGACACGTAGCAGGTCTGCCATTTTAATATAAATATACAAATAAGAGAAATTCAGGTCTTAGCTTATGCTCCAGGAACATGACTGGAGAACTGAAAAGAGTCATTCTTGGTGGAAGGGGAATTCTGCTATCACATTCTCCCCCTGGTTGGTGCACACACTGCAGCCTTTCCTTGGGATTTCACTGTGTTCTCACTGGGCAAGAAGGAATAGATCTTGGTGTATTAATTTCTCCCTGAGGCAGAAGGTATTTTGCTGGGTACTGCACTCTCCTCATGGCGATTTTTTTTGGCATGAGAGTTCTGAAAAGGGGATGCTTCTATTTTAGAGAAGCTCTCCAGAAAATTATTTTTTTTTTCCCCCTGTGAGTTTGTCACTTGTGAAGCAGGGGTACCTTGTTAAGGATTTCATTCGCTATGGGGACAGATGGCTGGGGTTTTCTGGATGTTAGTTTCCTGGGGATGGGATCAGCATTGTCCCTCAAGCGTGTGTGGAATGGACTGTAGTGTTAGTCTCCAAGACTGAAGATTATGCTGAATATTACACTTCTCCTATCAGCTACGTTCAGCCTGTTCTCTTCCCGAGCAGATGGTTACAATGAAAAGGAAACGCAGCCCCTTACATAGGAGAAGGGTAACCTGCCCCAAGCCCACACTGCGGGCCTGCGCGCCATTTCGCGGCGCCGAGACGCCTATGCAAGGGGCGCATTAAAGCGGCCAGTCTGTGCTGCGACCCGGCACAGGCAGCACGCTCCGCCGCCAGCCTCCCTCCTCCCTCCCGGCAGCCTAGGTCAGCTGCCACGCTCCCTCCGCGCGGCGCTAGCGCGGCGGCGGTTACCTCCATTTTGTGACCGGACACAAGTCGCCGCGTTCACCCTCGCCTCAATATGGAGCAGAGAGGAAAGAAGGATCACGTGATAGGGGAAAGGCGGGCTTGAAACCAGCGCGCGCACCCAGCTGTCGCTTACTGGCCAGGGGAGGAGAGCGAGGGCCTGTTCCTCTTTCTCCGTCTCCAACGACCTGACGGTATCTCCTGTGGGAGCAGCGTCTCTGGCCCCATATACGAGACCAACGTTTTCTGTTTGGTGCCCCCAGGATCGTTGTACTAAGCAGCCACAACAGGCGCGAGGAAGGGGCGAAATACAAGACACAGCCGGGCGCGAACGCTGTGTCTTCCTTAAGTCTCTGTACTTCCCCTGCACAGGCACCCCCAGATCCTAGCATTTCCACCTACATATGGAGACCGCTGCCAAAAACCCCTCTGCAAGCCCGCACAGCACTCCATAAGAATCCTACTTTGTCTGGATTCGCTGCAAGCTAGCCAATGAAGACTAAAAAGCACTTAAATGCAACACCAAATTAACTTTTGGGAAGCAGCTCCAACACCAGTTCATTTGTTTCATATTTATAGCACAACAGCTTCTGAGGATCACCCTTCTAGATTACAGTGTTTTCCCAGATTATTTACAGTTGCTGTTTTCACAGCCCCAGATATCAGTATCCTTTATCAACAGGAAAAAGGCATGCAGATAGGAATTGTGGAGAAGCTTGTGTTGGCACTGTCAGTGTATATAAACTGATCTGCAGGGACCAACCCTAGCTAAGAATAAGATATGGCAGCACAATCTTCAAGCCTATTCAACCACTAAGTATTTTCAGAGTCCAAAAGTAAGACTGACAGTTAGTGACAGTGTTTGGTGGACACACTTGTCCTGTGGAAAACTGGCTGCAGATTTGTTATGGCATTTTTAATCAAGAAAATCAGCACAATCATGGTAAATTTAGTAAAAGCCATAGGTTATGATTTTTTATAAAATACTTTAACATAATACCTTGTTAAAATCATAGGCCAGCATCTACAGCCTTTCCTCTGTTGTGTTCTCCTCCTTACCCTGTTGAGGGGGCACTGACATCCACAACAATATCATTATCCTCTACACAGCAACTCTAATCTTGGCCCAATGAGGAAGGGGATGGAGGCTGAAGAGCAAGCCTGCCCTACATTCATACCAGTGGCAGCTCCTACATCCTGTAGGACTTAGCCTGGTTCCCTGCTCTGGATATTGCAATCTACTGCATGGAATCACATCAGCACTCAGGTTTGGCCTGGTCACCCCTCAGTCGTGGTGGCACTGCACCCCTGTGCACATCTTGCAAAGCCCTGAATGGAGAACTAGGCCCAATCCCATAGGAGCCACCACTGAGCAGCGAATGTGGGGCAGGCTTGCTCTGACATACCCCCATCCTCAGGGCCTCCCCTCTTCACCAGGCTGGCAGGCCAACCCACCTAGAGCCTTCCTGCATGGCAGTCAGAGAAACCACATCCATAACATTTTCACCACCATGAAATCTGCAGCCCTAAAATGACCATTAAACTCATTTTGTGCTTGTGGGTTCAGATGCTGAGTGACTGATGTTACTTTTTTGCATCTTTGAATAAAATGTAATAGTATAAATTTTGTTATAGTAACTGTATAGAAGTATAGATTTTATCTTGTTCTCAGAGTCTATCCTGTAGAAGTAATAAACTACACATAACATTTTAGTAAACAAGTTTGTTGTTCAGACCTTGTTTTGTTTCGGTTTTTGTAATGCAAGGGATAGGAGTGTCTGAACAAGTGGTTAATAGAGCCCACCAGGCATGAATGGTGTAGTGTTGTTATATACCTGGCATAAAAGCATTCATACAGACAGACAAGACTCATCTACCCACACAGGAGAACCAGAATGAATTTAAGAAATAAAGGAAACACTACCTGTGAAGATCTTCTTCCTTTCCTCTTGTAGTCTTCAATATCTCTCTCCTCTTTGATCCCAGACATTTTGGAAGGATGCACTAACTCAATTGCTCCTTTTAACCTAGGTAACAAGCAGTGAGTCAGTATTTACCTCTGTGGGTCTTTCTTCCCCATATGTAAAGAAGCAAGCCTTTCCATGGGCTGGAACAAAAGAGTGGCTTTACTAAGGGGGACAGGGTATGCCAGTGGGGTAAAGCTCTATGAAAAAAATAGTAGAACAAGTTATGAGCCAGTAGATGGAAGCTTAGAGGAAGAGTGCTACAACAGGATTTGTTTGTGTTTAACCTTTAGGTTATTTTTAAGATAGTTACTCTAATTGCTAGTTAGGGAAGTGAGGTCTGAAAACATGTTTCAGAGCTGATTTATAAAACACCATGAAATCTGACATATGTTGACTATGATAGCTATACAACAGCAGATATCCACCTTACTACATAAAATTTTATTTCTCGTCTTAGATTCTGTTCCTGATATCCTTTAAAGGAGTGGTGGGCAACCCGCAGCCCATTAGGGTAAACTGCAGGTTGCCCACCATTGCTTTAAAGCCTCCAATGTTTAAAAAATATTGTTTGTTAACAGGATGATTTCCCTACTTTACTGGGTATATTTCCCTGTGTGTTCTACTCACTGAACAAGTAGCCTACAAGACTGGAGCACTATAACATGGGAAAAACCATTGCCATAACAGCAAATATTGCTCTAATGCTTTACTTTAGACATTAATGCAAGAATCCTCTAATGCCACTGTGGGTTTCTGCTAGTTCAGAAAGTCCAAAATAGTGATCAGTTGACCACTAGTGATCTGTATATAGAGTACAACTGGTCACATGGTTTTGCCTCATCTTTGTTTCCCATTGTAAGTTTCATTAAAGCTAAAAACCTATAACATTTCTAATACCTGTCTTGTAAACAACTGCTTACAGTTACCAAGGGCACATGCAGTCACAAATAAGGGAGGTAGTCAACAAGACACTCTTCAAAATTGAAAAGCGTCTGAGCTCACATGCTAAATCAGCAGTTCTCAAACTGTGGGTTGCGACCCCAAAGTGGGTCAGGATCCCGTTTTAATGGGGTCGCCAGGGATGGCATTAGACTTGCTGAGGCCCAGGGCTGAAGTCAAAACCCGAGGCCCACTACCCTGGGCTGAAGCCAAAACCCAAAGGCTTCAGCCTCAGATAGTGGGGCTCAGGTTACAGGCCCCCCCCGGGCTAAAACTCTTGGGCTTCGGCTTTGCTTCCCCCATTTCCCCCGCAGCGGGGCTTGGGCAGGCTCAGGCTTCTGTCCCTCCTTGTGAAGTCATGTAGTAATTTTTGTTGTCAGAACGGGGTCACGGTGCAATGAATTTTGAGAACCCCTGTACTAGATTATTGTCCTTTAACAAGTGAAGGACAGCATGTCCCCTCTGCTCCCTGGTTATTTCAGTTAACACTGAAATTTAGTCCCCCAATTTCCTGTACACTTTTAAATTAATAGCTGGAAACAACTGCACACAGGTTTAGTCACCATACGAAATTTACAATATAATCTACTCAGCAGAGAAATATTCTGGTAAATGTATTCCAACGTGGGAGTAAAGTATAAGCTGAAAAACACAAGGACATTTTTTCTCTGCCCTGGTGATAATTCAGTCAGTTTACTAAATTTAGCTTTTATATACTGTCTTTTACAGGATATATAAAAATTAGTGATTTCAGTGTACTTTTTTTATTTCAGGCACTAAAGAATATCCTGGAAAAGGCAGAGACCCCAGTTAGTAAGAGTCAGATGTACAGTTCTTCAGAGGGCAAGTAGTATCATAATCTAAAATTATCCCATATAACAAAGTATGCAAAATATTTTGTTACTAATAAGAACCCCCAATAAGGGAAAAATAGTTTTAATATTGTATGTTGGTTTTAGATTTAATTCTAACAATACAGTTAACTTATTCAGCGAAATATAGCAATGTAGAATCTAGTAAATAAGGAGCAATTTTATGGATTATTCCAACAATGGTATTTGAAAAATGTAATTAGTAAACCAAGTAACTGCTTGACCATCACATGTGCAAGTTACCAAACAGAACTATTTGCTTTTTAGGTAGGCAGTCTACACATTTAATGCATGCAATAGATAAAAAGTTTTGATTCTACATTAAATGAGAATGAACATTTATCCTGTAAACTAAAAAAAAAAAAAAAGACAAGATTTACATAAAACTTTAATTTGACCAGATTTTAATCAAAATTTAAACGCTGTGATTTAAAACAATCCACCCTGTTTAGAAGCAAAAGCTTTTATAGGAGCATTTATGAAGTACCATCAGAGCATCTCTGTTGTCCTTGAATGTGATCTACCTCATTGCTAAGTTTTGTGCAGCTTCATACATGTCATTTCAGAAGTAAAAGTCACCAATTTCTCTCTCAAGATTCCTTACAGCAGATGTTGGAGAAAATAGGAGTCTATTCCCTATACACTTCAGAAGCAAGGAATTATGGGTAGCTGGAGGTGGTGGAACCAGGAATTGGAGGCAGTCAGGGGCTGCCAAAGGGGAGCATGTGTGGGTTTTCACGCATGCTAGCACAGGCCTGGGGGAGTTGTTAGAGGTGTGGGAGGAGAAATGCTGGAAATGGCCCACCTGATGATCACTTTAGATAAGCTATTACCAGCAGGACAGTGGGGTGGGAGGAGGTATTGTTTCATATTCTCTGTGTATATATAAAGTCTGCTGCAGTTTCCACGGTATGCATCTGATGAAGTGAGCTGTAGCTCACGAAAGCTCATGCTCAAATAAATTGGTTAGTCTCTAAGGTGCCACAAGTACTCCTTTTCTTTTTGCGAATACAGACTAACACGGCTGTTACTCTGAAACCTGATTCCCCAATCTGTTCCCCATTTTAGACCTCTATTGTGCCTTTTTAAAGTTCTAAATCCCCTCGATTTCCTATCAGCAGCTGTTGTCACCGCAAGCTAGGCTCAATGCAGGCCAGCACTAGCAGGAGGGGTAGAGAGATTGCCTGAAATCTGGTGCCACAATGAACACAGGAGATCAGAAGGAGATATTACTGTCTGCTTAGAGGCCAGCTGAATGCATGAGATATCAACTGGGATGCAGACAGGCCTGATGGGCTTGCAATCATGCATGACATTTGACAGTGCTATGTCTACAATGTGTTCACACAAAGTTAGGGCACTGCATTTAAACACAGCTCTAGTTAAGCCAATTCTGACAAGGATAATATATTGCAAATATATCTGAAGATTCCTTTAAAACATAGTTTCATAAACAGAATTAAAACTGGGCTAGAAACAATGTAAATGGTTTACACTGTTGCAGATAACCCATTCCCAATATAAGCAGCATTATCTCTGGTGAAGAGCAGGAAAATATCTGATTAGGAACACCATGGATTTTCAAGCTTTATTAATCATGATCCACATTGTTAAATGTCAGTAGGACAGTTCCCCTACCATATGCAAACTGTGCAACATCCCTGAGGCAACTAAAACAATTGCTTACATGGAAAGTTATTCTGACCTGTTATACTACCGTCTGGAGTTTCCTCTCTGCCTCTTACGCAGTAGCAGTTACTATAGGAGGCAGCCAGGTTCTCCCTTTCTTCTAGTTGCTTTTACACGCTTCAGGCCTGGATACCTGAGAAACGGAGTGGTGGAATCTTGCTGTGAGTTTCTACTGGGAAGGAATACCCACATCCCTCCCCAATGGATTGCAGAGAAAGGAACAGTTGTGCAATAGTTCTCTCCCACAGTTGGGGCATTACAAGATCTTCCATGGGTGGTGGTAGGATTTGCTTTGTATCTTATTCTCAGTGTGGGCCAGATCCAAAAATCTATTGAAGTCAATAGGAGTCTGACTGACTTCAGTGGGCTTTGGATCAAATTCCGTGAGGGAGACTCTTCCCAGAGTCGTGGCAGCTGCATGTTGGTTGTTTTGGTGGGTGGGACAGACTTTGGCTTTAGACGTTAGTCCCTCCGTGGGGACAGTGAGGATTGTGCTGCTGTGGGTGCAATGCAAGACTCTTCTGGGGGCGTGGAAGTGTCACGTATACCAGTCTCTCCCACAGGAGGTGCAGTGAGAAGGATGGCATTTTGCGGTTCTCTACCGGGGGGGGGGGGAATAGAAGTAGGACCGCATTTTGCAGCCGTGGGTTGCGGGGTGTTTATCGCTCCCCACCCCCCGTCTTACGCTGGAACAGCCGCTTTCTCGGGTGCCGACTGGAGACTGTCGCCGCCAGGAGAGGGGGCAATGCTGGAAATTACGCCCCTCCCTTGGGTGCCCGCGTTGGGGATTTTACTGGAGTCCCAGGCTCACTCTCCACCCCCACCCTCCCGGCGGTAAGGATATTACGAGCATTGCTGTTTCCTGGCCGGGCCCATAGTGTCAATCTCCCTCCCTCCCCCACCCCCGGAGAGTAGAAAGCTCAGAGGGCGCAAAATGGCGGCTGCAGCCCCATTGCTTGAGGGGCTGGAGCATGAAACACAGCCCTCCCCCCGCCCCCGGTCAGTGCGCCATTTCGCAGCGCCGAGGCGGCTGGGCCGGGGGAAGAACAGGGGGGAGGGGGGCGTTTTGCCACCAGCCAGCCCAACACACCCAGCTGCCTGCGCTCCCGTCCCAAATCCACCCGCATGGAGCCCCGCCGGGCACGAAAGCAGCGCGGCAGGAAGCGGCTTCACTACCCCTCCCTCGTGTCTGGCCAGACAGCAGCCCCGATCCCTCCACGCAGCGCTAACGCGGCGGCGGCGATTACCTCCATTTTGTGACCAGACTCGTTTCCTTCAGTTTCAAATTCAATATGGAGCCGAGAGGGAGAGGAGAAGAGGGGTCACGTGAGAAGAGGGGAGGCTGGCTCGAGCCAGCGCGTGCGCTCAGTAACAGAGACTTGGGCAGAGCTTTCGCGCGCAGGGGCAGGGTCGCCTCCTCCCGTCCTCCCCTTCCCGCCAGAAAACCGGAGGCGGCGGCGGGCGCCTCAGGGCCATCCCGACCCGTGACGGGGGAAGAAAGCTGCGAACAAGAGTGCTGTATGAAACAGCCACAGCTGGGAGAGGGGGAGGATACACATCCAAGATACAGCGTGGGGAGGGGCGGGGAAACGAATGTTCCCTGGGCCAGGCACGCCGTGCCTCCTGAACGCCATGCCCTGACTCTAGTATCCACCTAGGGTGGCGGCACAAAAATCCAAACCCTTTGCCTCAGAGAATATCCCTGTAAGAGCCTGGAGAGCAGCCTGGGGAGCATGAGTTGTACATGCAATGTACAATCAACAATCACCCTTAAGTACATATACACAAAAATGAGGGCCTCCCCCGACCTGATTGAAGGACCCTACCCACCTCGGTCTGGGAGCTCTGTCCCACTGCTGCTCTACGTCCAGCGAGCCTGCCCCTCCCCGCCCCCTCCAAGTTTCCCAGTCTCTCTTCCCTGCCCTTCCAGATTCCAAGGCCCTCCCTTCTCAGCCCTTCCAATAGTGCTCACCACAGCCTTTCTTCCGGCTATATCGGACCATTCAAAGAAGCAGCCATCTTCCCTGACAGCCAACTGCCTTCATTCCCGCTGGAACGAATGGGGGTGAGCCATCTTCTCTAAGGGCAGCCATACTTTCACCCTCAAAATCCTACACAATTCAGCTGAGGGTAATGTGGGCTCACTTCCATCAAGCAAAATGGAAAATAGCAGCAGTTTTGAGGAAAGGCAAAGAAAGATACACAACATTGTAGCCAGTAAACAGCCTTAGCTAAAGAGAACTACCCACTCTTCAAACGCTGAATATTATGATAGTAACTTAGCGAGATAAAACAGTGTTCTAGAGTTTAAACAAAAACAAGAACAGGATTGCCACCCTCAAGAGATCAAAAGTCACAAGACAAACCTCTAAAGAGGAAAGACTGGCCCAGAAAAATCAGTTTTTTAATCAGTATTTTAAAGGTCTTTGATTTCTTAACTCCCCCTTTATTCCTCCGCCAATGTGTGATAATGTCAGGATGACAAGTCAACCAGTAATGCACACAACATGCAATCCTCTCACTGGATGCTCAGATGGAGACTCCACTTACTCTCCACACCCCTTGAGATAAGGGTCTTCACCCAACAGAAACACCTCCTTGTCTCTTGCTGCCCTGGGACTTTTCCATCTGTGACACACCACCCCCTGCTTCTCTAGGACTTCTCCTCTGCCCAGGCTGAGTAGCATCCCATCGCTGCTTCCCCTCACCCCAGTTCCCTCTCCCTGCTTTAGGACCATACACGTAGGCAGGGCAGGTCTGTAATATTCTCAGTCCCAAGACACTCACACAAGACTTTGCCAGTATGCCATTGCCCAGCCCAGAAAAAAAGTCACAGCTCAGAGAAACTTCTCACATGACAGCAGTGCTCCTCCTCCAACTACGCAAAAAAATGCCCTAACTCATGATCAGTTTGCAAGAGTTGGCATAACTATCTTCTCCAGGTTGCTCAGAGGGGCCTCCCCTTCCCAACCACTACCTAGGGTAGGAGTGCTGCTGCCATTCTTTCCCCCAGCACTTTATTCTGCACCCCCTCAGCCCCATGCAACCTGTAGATCCACCTGCTACTCTACCTTATTCTCCCCCATTCACAGTGTTTCTGCTGCTCCTCATGGTCCCTATGTCCTGTCTAGCTCCCTAAACCACAGAACAGCAGCCATTTTGCCTACAGGGATGGCTTCAATCTCACTGAAAACAGTGGGAGATGGCTGCCAACTTTCTAATGGGCAGCCTCACTACCATATGCAGAGGAACTGTAGGAAAACAGTGGCCAGCTTGGTAGCTTCAGCTCCATTGATAGTAGTTGGTGGCCTATTTGAATAAGGGGAAATTGATGCATTGGCACTATTCAGCATGTTTTCATGAGACATTAAAAATACCACAAAATCACTACAGTCATGATAAAATCATGAGACATATTAATATTGGAAAAGCCTTGCCTCCTGTCTCAAAATAGTATTTTTTCAGAAGTCTGCAAAAGTAATCTTAGATTAGCACTAAATTGTGCACAAATGTGGTCAAGATTTTTCAGGAGTGATTTTGCATGCCTTAGTTTTTGTATATTCAACTGGATATACTGTAAACAGCTTTCACTTGCAGGAATTATTGAGCACCTACACTTTCAAAGTCAGGTCATGTTAAGGTGTCCCAAGTTGAGCACTAAAAATAAAGGTCATAGTTTCAATCTGCAGTCACCTCTGAAAGTTTTAGCTGCAGTATTGTAACAAGCAAGCTTATCACTAATTAGGCCTGGTTTCTCCTGATTTTGTTATCACACACATATGTTGAGAACTAGAAGAAGTGGACTAACAAACTGTCAAGTAACCGAGTAAATGGGACTGGGAAGTACTCAAAGTTGTTTGTTACATATAGCATAGAAGAAGGACACAAACTGAATAATTATAAATATAGGTAGGCAATTCTTTCTCTCTCTCTGGAGAGGGACACTAGAATAAGCATAAAAGCCCCCAAAACTATTCAACCTGTAAAAGTCTTCTTCCTTTCTTCTTACATAGTCTTGAATATCTTTGTCCTCTTTGATTGTAGTAATAGCCATTTCAGGAGGATACACTAACTCAAATACACCTTTTAGCCAAAATAATAGGTAGAACAAATCAGTATTTAGCCCTTTGTAGGCTTGCCTTTCTTCCTCCTATGTATGGTCACAAGACCAGTTGGTGGAGTAAGTCAATAGGTGTGGTTTTACTGAAGGGGGTGCAGGTGGGGGAAGGCTCTATACAATTTGAGCAGAAACAGTATACAGAAAGTTATGAGTAAATAAGCAGAAATGTAGAGGAAAATAGCTACAAGTGTGTTAGCTACTATTATTCCAAGATTGTATTTAACTATTGTTTTGTATTTAAACTTTCTTTTTGATAAACACATTGTGATTGTTATAGTTATACAAACAAAGTTTGGGGGAAAAGGTCTCCATAGTCTCCAGCACAGTATCTAATGACTCTTCTTTCTATAGATCGAGTATCTTAAATCTATAGTACTCAGAAGATTGCTACTCTTTTAGATTCAGGCCAGATGCTCTAGTTCACTCCAGTTAATGCAAAGGGGTTAGAAAATTACTAGATTTCATCAACCAAGCATTCCACCAAGTTGGGGCAGAGATGGTATATCCTTGGACCTGGTGTATGGAGTGTACTGGAGATGGGAGGGGATGTGATCAGATTGCTATTGTGCTCTGGCTATTCTCAGTTAGTGGGGAGATGGCTTCTTAATGGCCATTACCAAAAATCCAAAGCTGGCCCTTAATATCTGATATTTAAACAAACTTCTCTGCATTTAACTAGCTTTGTTTTCAAATAAAATAGTTCCCCTAAATTTGGCTTTTGTTTTACTCATGCTCTGTTTCCTACAGAATTAGGTACTGTGGGCAACAAAGCTAATTAATGATCATTGTAGCAAGTGTTGACCAAAACTTTTTTTAAACTAAAAAAAATAGCAAAAAGTCTGCTATTGGTTTTTGCTAGGATTGCCTTACAGCAGTCAAAGAGTGACATGGTTCGACTCTTTAGTATTCCTTCAACTGCAAAAGCCAAGAAGTTATTGAGGTCTCAAGATGTACTCTTTTTATTTATATTTAAACTTAAGACTGGAAACAGTAGTACTCTGACTTAGGCTATATCTGTGGAATTTAACTTTGCAGTCATGCAGTGAATAAAATACAATTGATAACAGTGTAATATACAGTGAATACTTTATTGGAAAGGAGTAATAATACTCATAAGGAGAGAACGTAAAGGTAAAATAATAAACTCTGATCCATCTATGACAATGTGGGAGAAAGGTGATGGTTTCTCAGGGACTAATGTGGTTCATATAATATCAATACATTTGGTTTAACAAAATATTAAACACGAGTAAACAGTTATATAGAAATATTCTGTTCATTAACACAAAACATAGTAGACAGGGTAATCTTCCTATTAGTTCCTTTAAAGATTTTTTTTCTATAATCATCTTTTTGTGTAATTGTAAAAATCTCAGTCCCAAGAAAGTAGGTTTAATTTGCATGTATCACCTGCAGTTATCACAATAATTTTAGGAGCGTAAATTGTTTCAAATAATGTTCAGTAGTATTGGAACTCTGTTTTCCTCTGATTTGATCTTGTTACCAATCCACAGGCAGATCAAGTTTGAGTTCAATAGTCCTAATTCACAGTCACCACGAACTTCATGAAGTCCTTTGCACAAATGTAAAGTTGTAGTAAAATGCTACTAACTTAGAATGGTAGCATTTTACAACACATTTACACTCACTTTGCATTGGTCAAGGACTACATAAAGTGCAGGGCAATGTGGCTGACAATTTCACATTACACAGGTTCACATTAGTTTACCAGAACTGGATGTAGGACTAAGTATCAGCATAGATGAAATAACAGAGATTCAGGACAATCTTCCTCTTGTAAAACTGGGATATAATGGTATAAACAAAAAATGATAATGGGACCATTCTGAATAACTAAGGAACTACAGAATATAATTTACTAATTTTGCCAGTGAGTTACAGGAGTTTATAGCATTTTTGTTAGCTAGATAGCATGCCCCAGGGATTCTCAAACTGATTAATCATATCTCCTGGACATATCCCTTTCCATTTGTGATCACACAACGTTGTTTACATGGAAATGTAATGTAGTTATTTTTATCCATTCTGCTGGTGGCTCTACTTTCCTCTTTCCCTATAATGTGTCATATTAGGTAGCAGCAGCTACCAGTGGAGGCAAATAAGATGTCTCCTTTTTTTCCAGCTGCTTTTGCAGATATTCAGGCTCCCCTTCACAATGACAAAGCTGATAGACAGTAGTTTGTACTTTTAAAAAGGATGTGGTTTAAAAAGTGCTGTATGGTTCACGAAAGTCAAGATGAGTTTGCAAGGCAGTAGGCT